ACTTGTGCATTACTTATCTAAATAACATCCTTATCTACTTTAAAGATAAGGCAACTTATATCCTCTATGTTAAAAAGGTTTTAGAGAGGCTATAGTAAGCAAGATTATAAGTAGAGATTAAAAAAAGTAAATTTTATGTTACTTAAATAAAGTATCTTAGCTATATACTTTAAAATAAAGGACTAGAGGTTAACCTACAGAAAGTAGAGGTGCTACGCAACTAGCAGGCGCCTACTACTATAACAGGTGTAAAATCCTTTTTAGGCTTTACTAATTTTTATTAACAATTTATTTTAAAAATTTTTATGTAGTAAAACTAATTATTGCGCTTTAAAGTTCTACTACCCCTTTTATATAGACTTTAGAGTGTAATAGGGCTTTTAAAAAGCTAAAGTCTAAGCTACTAAGAATACCTACACTTTACTATTTTAACTTTATGTTGTAAACTAAAATTAAAACTAACACTTCTAATAGAGTAGTAGCTGGAGTCCTATCTTAGGAACATGCTAATAGAAATTAGTGCCCTATTTTGTTCTATAGCAAGGTCTTATCTAGTTTAGAGCTAAACTAGGAAATATATAATAAAAAGCTATTTATAATTGTTATAGCGTTTAAATAAGAAAAGGCTAAGCTTATATTAGCTATAATAAGCACCCTAGTATATACTAATTATTAGTTATTAAAGTACTTTATAACAACAAAAGTGCTAAATGCTTGTTAAGTCTATTAAGCTAAAAAGTTAGCTTAGTATTACTTCTAAATTAAGTACACCTCTAGTAAGAATAATGCTAGAGCAGACATCCTTAGCTGTTGCAAATAAGAAGTAGAAAATTTAAAAGTAGCTTAAACTAATAACTAGTTAAAAGTCCTACTTAGACTACACTAACTCTACTTCTAAATTAATAAGAAATTAGCCTAGTACTATATTACTTAAATAATAACTTAAGCAACTTTACTAAATATTATAAAAGAACTAAACTAGGTTATGTCTTTAAATTCTTTAGAATTAATTAACATATTACTTTAAAAGAACTAAGCCTTTTTTACGCAGAAGTAAAAACTCTTACCTTACTATTATTAAATAGGAAACAGACTACTACTTTATGCTAACTATTTATGTGTTCTAGTAAACTTACTGCTGTGTACTTAACTTATCTAAGAAGTCTATAAGTAAGTATCTTTAGCACACCTTAGTGCTACTAAGACCTATTAGTTACTGTCCTAAAAGTACCACTAGAAAGGTATAAAGGCTACTTATAAATAATACATACAGAATTGCCTTTTTTATTGTAAAGTTTCTTTAAAACAGACCTAAACTCTAAGGTTTATTTACCCCTTTTTAATTCCTAATTAACTAATGCAGCACCTATGTATTAACTTTAAGAATTTCTTTAAAAACAAGTCTAGTTATAACTAGATTATAGTTATAATTAATTGCATGTTTAAATAAGCTATTTTTATTCTTTACTACAAAATAATTAACGCCTAAGAAGTAGCTAGCTTGTTTATTTAATAGGTGTACTATTTTAGCTACACACTTAAGACTATTATCTTTAACTAGAGACTTTAGTTTATATCTAGTTTCTAGTTTAAATTTTATTAAATTTTAAGTATAAAAGTTAAGCTTTTTACTACCTATTATAAGGAAATAGATAGCTAAACAGAGATTATAAATAAGTATATTAATTAAAGACTAAGGCTTTTTATATTTTTTTACTAAAATAACTAGAGTTTCTTCCTACTTTTAATTAATTAGGCTTAGATAACTTTACTTTATATAATAATTAAAATGTCTTTATATTAAGTTTTATATAGCTCTAAACTATGTTAAAGCTAGGACTAGAAACATTCTATAAAACCTATTACAGCTATAGATAAGTTAAATTATAAGGATGCTCTAGCATTAGCAACCTGCATGCACGCAGCCTAGGCGTTAGCTAAGTCCTATATAGAAAAGGCCTAAGATTAGATGCAAACTGTAGTTAACTGCTACTGCTAGCTAGTTAACTAAGAGGTTAGCAACATAGTCTATCTAAACACTAAGAACCTAGCTGTTTAGAGACCTAGCTAAAAACTATCTAAATAATAAAAAGGCCTCTTTAAAGTACTTAAATAAGTTAGAAACTTATACTGCCTAAAGCTACCTTTAAAGTTAAAGATACATAACGTCTTTGCACTAAACATACTCTATAAAGACTCTTAAGATCTGCTTCTAAAATAAGAACCTCTAAAACTCTCTAGAATTACTATTAATAAGGTAAAGAAGTAGAAAGTAAAAGAAATACTTACTAGTAAGCTCTACTAGAAAACGCTTAAGTACTAAGTAAAATAAGTAAAACATAACTCTAATCTAGTCTAGTATAAGGCTTTAAATTTTATAGGTTCTTTTTATAAACTAAAGGCCTTTTATAATAAGTATCTAAAATAGCTAGAACTTTTAAAAGCCTTACATAAGTAAATTAAGGCTTTTAAAGCTAGTGTAGAAGGCATAGATTACTTAGCAAATAATAAGGTATAAAAGTAAGAAGTTAATTTATAGTTATACATAGTAGTATTATAACTCTATAGATATAGTGCTAGGGAGGTCTAACAGCAAGCTGTTAGACACCTCTAGACTTTTTTTTTCCTCCTCTGCTTTTCTTCCTCTTCTCTCTTTTTTTCTCCCTTTTTTTCTAGACTCCTTTTAAACCCCCTCTGTCTTGTCCTTAGCTGCCTAAGAGCGCTATAATGTCTGCTTAAAGGTTAGACACTAAAGCCTCTAAGGATAAAACCTAACAGAGCAGCTTAGTATTCTAGTAGAACAAGGCCACCTAGACGCTAGCTGTAGGAAGACTAGCTTTTTAACTCTTTATAACCTACGCTACCTGCGCTAGGTTCTAAGTAAACTTTAAAATAGCTTTAAAAGCTCTCTTCTTGTCCTTCTTACTCTCTATGTTTTAGGCTGCTGCCTATAGATTAAGATAGCCTTAAAGGACTAGAAATTTCTTTTTACAATATAAAAAAACTTAAGCGTGTGTTAGTAAACTATACCCTAGCTGTATTAGACTATATTTATATAGGGTTACATTTTTTATTATGTAAAGTGTAATATTTACATTTCTTTAATTTAAAGAACTAATAAAAAAACTTAACCTAAAAGCTGCAGGTAAGAGTGTAGGCAGCCTAAAAGTAAAAAATTAGCTATATTAGCTATAGCTACTAGCTAAGAAGGAAATCCTTACACATCTAGCTTAAGTATGTGCTAAATAATTACTTACTTTTTATTATTATTTAGCTTTTATAAGTTAGCTATATAATTAGCTTAGAAAGGTTATTTAGTGTGTTAGTTACTTATTCTTTTTTAAAAGACTTTATAAATAGCTATAGTGTGTTACTTAAAAAGTGTTATATTTTATTTAAAAGCTTAAAGTGTAAGCTGCATTTAATGTTTTTTTAACACATCTAAGTAGTGTTATTAGAAATGCATTAGTGTAAAAAGAGTAGTGTAGTAAAGTCTTAGTAAAAGTAAGCAACTTAGGTGTGTAAGCAACTTGCCTATAAAGTATGTTATAAGCTTTTTAAAAGTTTAAGCTTATTTTATTTAAGATAAAACTATGCTTATTTTTTTAACTATAAGTAGTATATTTTATTTATTTCTTATGTAAATAACATACTTTATATTTATTACTATTTAAATAAAAGTGCTGCTAATATTTAATTAGCTAGGTTTTCGCTTATTGAAATCCACGCTGCCCGGAAGCGAACGTAGTTAGCGCAAACCCACAACCGCCATAACCTTTGTTTACTAGATATCCCGTGGGATCTACTTCTGTCACCAGAAGCTGATCCTGCATCGTGACTTCAAGCTGCAGGACCTCTTCATCGACAAGACAAACCGGCCGAAACTAGCGGATTTTGTCGCATTCCTGGTACAGAAACCTTCCTTCCCTATGCCTTAACAGCCCCTACTACCTTCACTATAGCTCCTACTACCTTCACTATATCTCCTTAGCCACTGCCATGGCCCTCACTGCTCCTGCCATCATAAATGTAAATATATACTCTGCAACAGAGCACTTAGACTTGCAACAATACGCCTCACTTTATCAGCTTTAATATAGCTACATACTTACACTACCTCTCTATTTCGGTCAGGCTAGGGTCTTCGGGACCTCTGTTAACACCTTCTCCTATAAGGTCGCTACGCTATAGTATCAGCCCCTCAACTGGGTCCTTGAAAGCCACGAGTAAAACATGTCCGTCGATATCTGATCAGCTGCATTACGGGGACCATCCACTGTTCACCGGCACCACAAACAAGGACTAGTTGCAGAAGATTTTCCGCGTGCTGGGCACTCCTTCGGAGCGATCGTGGCCCGGGATGTAGAAGCTGCCGGAATCTAGAATCACTGCAAGGATGCGTGCGTGCTCCACGTGAAGCCTGGCACAGGGAGAACGCCAGATCTACGTTCCAGACCCGGTCACCCCCAAGAAGCTGTTACAGCCAAGTCCGGAGGCAGGAACCACGGCTGCCGACACTCTTGGGTATCCGCAGTTCTACGACCTCCACTAAATCCAATCCCGAGGTGAATGCTATTGGCTTGTCATTCCTTACCGCAACAATGAAATTTCGATCAAAAGCTAGGCCCAACTCGTTAACAATAGACTAAAGACGTGCGACTCGACAATTAGAAAATGAATGCTACATATACCATGGAAAGACGCAAACACAGCCAGTGGGGTGGAAAGGGGCAACATAAGTGAGTCTAGCGGTTTTATAAGCTGTGCAACAGAAATATTTGGTCATACACAACAATTGTAGAGGGGAGCATGTTGTTCTTGTCGCGTTTTTATGAGAGATGCTAGCGTGTTTTTGTCTACAATTTGTTCAATTGTATTTTGCGCATCGGTATCTAGATACGCAAGTGAGCGAGACCAAAATATGGGAACACTAGATCCTGGGTAGGTTTTGAGGGAGCGATCAACTCCGAATTAGGCAGACCAGAAGCGAAATTATAAAATAAGAAAAGTACCATGGAGCTAAGATTGTGCTCATTCATTGATTCTCCGCTACTCTGTCAAAGACAGCGTCCATTGGCCGAGCGCTGGTACTACGGCTCGGCGAATGGCAGACAAGCCGCACTTCTCATAATTGCAACTTAGGAGTTGAACCACCTCATACTTGGCCCACCCAACCTCCTACTCCTGGATAGTAACCTCAAGAAGACTCTCCGCATCCGGCTCCAGCGTCCAGATCTTGTCAATCCTTAAACCGGCCGACTCGATGAGATTGTACCACTGGCGCTCGGTGCGCTCGACAGCGGCATTGACAGACATGACCATGAAGTCTGAGTGCGTCGCAAACGTACACGCGCCCTTGAGAGGAATGTTGAATTCGTTGATCAGGATCTTGGAGTACCCAGGCTTCATGGCGTCGCGGATGTGTCCTAGGATCACGCGGCAGCGGTCGTCGTCCCAGTCGTGGAGGACGCTGCGGAAGTAATATGCGCGGGCTCCTACTCGCGTATACAGTTATTCTCCGCTTCCCATGAAGGGGATAATTGAAAAAGGAGCAGTGTACTCACCCCTGATGGGCTGGGGAGTAAAGAAATCATGAGCAATAGCCTCCATTCCGTTCTCGGGAACCACACGATCAATAGTCGCCTTGAGATCCTCTACGATCAGCCGGCCGGGGATATTTGGGTACCGCTTCTTTACAGCCTGAATCTCGTGGCCAACACTACCACCCACGTCGACAAGGAAGACTGCATCAGGGTCGCTGGCGTCAAAGCCGGGAACCAGCTCCTGCTCGATGGGGTAAAAGTCTAGCCATTGTGGATGTCCGACGCGTTGCGTCGTCATGAACTGGTGGAACGAGTGCAGTAGCTCGGGTTGCTTGCCCAGCCAGTCAAAGTACGCCTCGCCGTTGAATTGCTTGTTGAAAGGCATCTCGTTCGGGTCCGTCGGGTTCTGGTACCCCGTCTCCTTGAGGAACTTGGGGAACGTCATCCAACCTGCGTGGATTACATTGTGGCTGTAGGTGCATCGAGGTTAGCTTACACGACTCCGGGTAAGGTAAGTTCCTTAATGCAATCCAGCCTCATACCCGAAAGGAGGCGGACCGTAACGAGGAGGCGGGGAGATTGCGGGTCATTACTCACAAGAGATCAATCCCAGATTGGCCCTTGACTGTTGCAAAAGCACGGGTGACCTTGTTCGGAGCGTAGATCTCGATGCCGGCCTCATCCACGCCACCAATAGATGTCAGTCCTCGCATGATGCGGGCGAGGAGGACTTCGTTCGCGCCTGTGGAAGAAGCCAGCTCGTGCAAGGTCACCGGCTTTTCGGCGCTAGTCAGTTTCTGGAACACACCCAGGTCCGCACCGATCTTGAACAGCAGGACATCAATCGTCTAGAAATAGACACTCGTTAGATGTGGTTAATCCGAATATTCGAGGGGTCGTATGTGTTTGCTAAGAACCGGCGTATGATCTACCTACACCGTAGAGATACCCCTCCACAATTTGGCCCTCATTCTGCAACGCGTTGGTCAGTCTCCGGGACATATCGAGGAGCTCCCTACGCCATTGTCGCGCCTCGGGGCTGTTTGCGTTGACAGCCGCGTGCTTGATGAGTTGTTGGCCAATCTCCGAGACCTGGCGTACGTAGTGGGGCACTTGAGAATCCATGCCGGCGAGTTAGTTGCACGTGATGTGGAATTTACATCTAGCGAAGGGTGGAGCTCATACGTATTCTTGGGGATCGAGACTTGCCAACCTTGAGCTTCAATGTTTTATAAAACCTCTTTCTCATCGTGAACTCGGCCAATTGGTCACAAATGATTCCCCCGATCTCGAGAATTTAGATATTAGAAACACCGAGTAGCAAAAGGAACGTGGTTCTTGCATGCACACCGCCAGCGTCAGCCGGTTTTCCGACGAAACTATCCGAAAGCGCGGTGTTAAACCCGCCGACAACTAGCAATAGGGCCGGTTAGCGTACCTTGCAGGAGTTCGCCCTAGCTATCTTCTGTCTAGAGGCGTGACCGGTATGAAAGAGGAAACATGTCAGACTGAAATATAAGACAAAGTACAAGTGCAGGGGAAATCATCACAACATCTTGGTTAATACCCAATTATAGGCGAGTTTCCCCTAGGAGTTGAAAAGCCGAAAACAATTGCTCATAACTCTTCAGTACTCTCCTGATGTATTTAGAAATCTCAACGTAACCCTGTTTCTTATTTCATTATTAATTTAGCCAGGATAACTGCTATCCTCGATTAGTAGAACGAGAGCAAGTCAAGCAAACCCACGCTTGAGAATTATTGAGACCTAGATAGCGGGTGTTACACGGAGACTTGGCCTCGGCTGATCGCCAGAGCCGCTATTATGGTACGGGACTGGAACGTCGCCGGAAGTGCCTAGGACCCCTCCCAGGGCGAAGGAAACACCAATATCAATTCAAAATCACGCGACTAACTATCACATAGTCGGTTCGAAGAGGTTCGCACGGTTCATCAGGTCCGCAGCGCCAAGCACTGCGAACCACGATGAACCATGTTAGAATATAGATACCACTCTACGCTCTAAAAGAGAGGCGTGGGTAATCTACTCTAGATAGTAGTAACTTGATACTTAAACACTTTAATACTATAGTGTTTCGCCACTAAGCGCCGTACTCTACTAAGCGCCGCATTTTCCCTCTACTAATGTAATGAGGTAGGTAGGGCGCCTACCTCACTACCACTAAAACGCTTGCGCGACAACGTTGCTCAACACTATAACTAGCTTTTGTACTATCTGTAACAGTATAGTATTATATAGAAGCTTTGTTGTCTTCTACATTCTCTATTTCTACTTTATTAGTATAAAAGTTATACTAAACTTTAGTATAACATCTAACGTATTCTACAACTAAGAGAGCTAAACTACTAAGCTAGCTACCTCTTCTTAGAATTGCAAACACCTGTAGGAATAGTAATGCTTAATAACATAATACTAATTTATTTTAGCAAGAAAGCAGAATTAATCTTAAACTTTATATTTATATTTTAAGCTAATTCAAGTGCATACAACACGCTATAATAGCTTTTAATATATACTAGTAGCATGTTTTTAATTAGGTTTGTAAAAATATATTTCAACTTTAAATATATACAAATTACTAGAACCTTATCTACTATAACTAAGAAATAAATAATTAACTATATAATATATTTTTAACTTTAGTTTATAAAGATTTACGCCTTAGCTATATAAAGTAGAATATAAAGTAGATAAACTACTAGCTACATAGAGAAGAGAGTTATTAAGTAAGAACTAGCCTATAGAGTTTATATTTTATATAAAAAAACTTAAGAAAACTTCTAATTAAGGTATTGTACAAGCAAACAGCTTATATAAGCAAATAATCTACTTTAATACAATTTTAGCATCTTGTACTTTAATTAATAATACATCTACTAATTAACTTTTAATGCTCTAATAAAGACATTTAAATACTTTTAGCTTTTTAAGTAATTTAAATAGTTAATCTTAAGTATTTAAGCTACTACAGTAATTTATAAAATCTTTTAAACTACCCTTGCTTGAAAATACAATAGTAGACTTTCACAATATAATTATATAGCTACTTTAGAAAAATTAGCAAACTATTATAAAGCATATAACTACTTTACTTACGTTTATAAAAAGTTTTAAATTATAAAAAAACATAGCTAATAAACTATAAAGCTTTTATAGTCTAAGCTATGTTAGTGTAAACTAGGCTACATTAGTGTAACTTAAGCTATATACTGTAACAATTCTACAAATTGTCCCATCTCAGGTCGCTTAGATCCTATCCGAAGGGTCTCTGTATCAGACCCGACCATGACTTGACCTAGTCCCCTGCAGTTACCCCTATTCCCCCCTGTATTTAGTCGCACCTTGCCCCCTTAGCTAGCTTAGTAGTTTTCTAATATCCTTTTATACAAGGCCTATAGGTGTTAATGGCATTCCCAGGTTCAGAGTCCCCACGCACTCCCATATGCCTCTAAGTGGATTCCCACCGCATTTGGACCTATTGTCTTGCCTGTGCTGTTACATATACTTTATTAGCTACACTATAAAGCTTAAAGAATGTTTTTCTAATAAATATTACTAAAAAAGCTTAATGTAAGAATTTTATAATTATATAAAAGTTGTTTAAGCTATATATAACATTATTACTAAGTATATAATTTATAAGAATAATATTTATAACTTTAAGAAAACAAACTTTTAGATAAGTGTTATAATTACTTACAAAGTTATTATAGTATTTAAAAAGTAGTATAAACTAAAATTTAGCATTACTAAGTAATTATAAATAAGCTATAGTTATTAAATGTATTTAGTTTATAAAAGTAAGTTGCAACACTTTTAAAAAAAACTATAACATACTTTACAGGTAAGTTGCTTACACACCTAAGTTACTTACTTTTACTAAGACCTTACTATACTACTTTTTTTACACTAATGCATTTCTAACAACACTACTTAAATGTGTTAAAAAAATATTAAATGTAGCTTATACTTTAAGCTTTTAAATAAAATGTAATATTTTTTAAGTAATATACTACAGCTATTTATAAAGTTTTTTAAAAGATAATAAGAAACTAACATACTAAATAACTTTTTTAAGCTAATTATATAGCTAACTTATAAAAGCTAGATAATAATAAAAAGTAGGTAATTATTTAGTATATACTTAAGCTAGATATATAAAGATTTCTCTTTTAGCTAGTAGCTATAGCTAATATAGCTAATTTTTTATACACTAAGTATTATATAAGCTATATTAGTATAAACTAGCTTAATATGTTTATTAAGTGTTACTTAAAGCTTAAAGTAAAGTTTAAGTGTAAGTATAACTATAAAAAAGCTTTTTATAAAAATTTTATAGTAATTTAAAGCTAGTTTAATTTTATAAAAAATATTAAAGCTAAGTATAGTATCTAGAATAATAACGTATATAACTTTAATAAAATAAAGTTTATAATAAGCTAAATATTTACTAAGGTAGTTATTATAAGTTTAGAGAGATAAAGACAGCTAAAAGTAGTGTAGCTAAGTAACTAGAAGTAGACAACAGTTATTTAAAGTATTAATGCTAAAAAGTAAGCTATTTTACTTTTATTATTTTTTAAAGTAGCAACTACTTTTTAAACTAGTATAAAAAAAATCTACTTTAAAATTAAGTTATTATAATCTTTAAGCGCAGCTAGACTACTAATTAGCTTAGTTTAGACTAGTTAAAGCACTTTAATATGCATATAAAGAAGTGTACTATTAGCAGCTACTATCTACTAGTTATTAATAGCTATAAAAGCTATAACTTACTTTATTTTTAGTAATACTATAAGAATAATAAAATTATTACTATTTATATACTTTTTTATTTATTTTACTTTTTATAGCTACTTAATGTAAGTTATTTTACTTTTTTAAAAAAGTATATAGGCGCTAAGCTAAAAACCTTATATATAACTAAATTACTTATATTATAAAAATAAAGTTCTTACTATGCTTTAAAGTAGCTTATAATACTATAATTACTTTTAGTAATATTTAAAAAAAGTTTTTAAGCACTAAATTAGTTTTTTTTAACTTATAAGAAGTTATAATAAGCTTTAATGTAAAGTTGCGCACTTTATTACTACTACTACTTATATATAATAAGCCCTAGTAGTTGTAAACCCTAAGTAATACTCTAAAACTTAAGTTATAATTAATGCTTATAAAAATAAAAATTTAAAAGTATATAAATAGTTTACTAACTTTTATAGTTAAAGTGTTTAAAAAAGTTTTAAAAAACATAGTAATAATTATATATAAGCTAGTATTAGTATAATAAAAAATTACTAAGCTTTAAGTAGCTAATAAAGCTACTATATAATATAAATTACATAAAAAAGTAAATTAAAGTAAAAAAAACTTTAATAATTTAAAAAAGCTTATACTTAATAGCTTTAAAAAAGTTTAAAGCGCGTAGTAATAAAAAGAAGGTAAAAAAGCAGGTGTAAGCTAAAGTAAGTAAGCTATTTTAAAGGCGCTGTAGATAGTGTAATTAGACTAAGCATAACACATAAATGTCTAAGTAAGAAGTAAAAGTAGTATCTAAATAATATTCTAGGCTGTACTGTACTATATAGTGCTAGAGCAGGTTGTTATAGGCTATAATAGAGTTTATTAGGGTAGAGTCTTAGCAAAAGTAAGCAACTTAGGTGTGTGAGCAACTCGCCTGTGAAGTACGTTAACATATTCTACTACTAAGCTAGCTAACATTAAACACATAGAAAATCTTACGTAATAGACATCTATGCTTTTAAAACTACTAATTAGAATCTTCTAGAAATTTTACTAGAAATTTATCTATATACTAGTAATGTTTGTACGTAGCAGCAGTGTTACAGTCTAGATACTAGTTATTGCGCATAAGAAGGATCACGTAACTATGTTACATAATGTTTGTGCGCGAACCTCTGTGCGCGAACATGTAGATATTCCCCATTTCCTCTGTACAGAAGAAAAGACAAAGCAATAACTAGAAACTTATTGCCTCTACCCTACCTACTTTATACACTGTGTACACTATACACTACTTTTACTTTTACTACTTAAGTGCTTATACTATAAGCAGCTAGCTAAAAGAGCCTATTTAATACTAATTAGTAGTTAATTTAATTAACTATAAATTAGTAAAAGTAATAATAAAGTACTTACACTGTTATAATTAGCATGCTTAAGCTACAAGCAAGAGGTGGTGTAACCTAACTAGATTAAACTATAGAGTAGAGGAGCTGCTCTGCAAGTTTAAATATACATGTGTGCCCCCTGCCAAGGCGCTACTCGTTGCGCAAGCGAGGGAGCTGAGCCGCAGAGCATGTGATGCGGTACACGCTGTTACATACACTTTATAAAGTACTTTATTTTATTACTTATTTTTTAAAACAGCAGATTAAATTTTTATATTATATAGTAAGCTCTACTACTATATAAAGTAAAAAAAAATTAGTGTAAAATATATATAAAAATAAATAATAAAGCTACATAAACTAGTAGCTAGGTAATAATAGTAGTATCTATGTAATTAACTATAAAAGTAATTAACTATACTACTATAATAAAATCCTACTAGTAATTAGTAACTTTATATAATAATTGTCTGTACGTAAGTACAAGTGTGTTTGTACATGTGTACAGCTAAATTAAGTTGCCTAAAACAGTTAGCTGTCTAGCCTATATATTAGAAGCTATGTGTACTTAAAAGCCCTCTTTTTTTATATAAAAAGAATGGGTAGTAGTTATTTATAAAAGGATTCTTGCCTACTTACTCTATTATATGCTGTACGCTTAGCGTATAGCTGCCTACTACTACTTACTGCGTGCGTAGCCACGCAGAGAAGGGATCTACTACTAGATGCATAGCTATTTAGAGGAGTAAGCTAACTAACACTAATTAGTCTATTAACTAGTAGATTTTTACTATGTGTATATCTATATAGAGAAGATATCTCTATAAAATAATAGAT